ATATATACAGCATATCAGAGAAAAAGACACCCAATTTGTTTTGCTTTTTGTGTGTATGTTATTTTGTTTCCCTGTAAAACAGAATATTATTGCAGGATCCAATCTGAGTTGGTCACCAGAACTAGAGTTTATTCTTCCATGCTTTTAAACTCATGCCAGAGCCCATCCCCAAATAACTTCTCTCTCTCCAGAAGATGTTCTATATATAGTACTTATAAGTTGCCCGGTTGTATGTGGCTTTTAGTTGTTAATTAGGGTGTTGATGACTGGCTATTAATTGTTGTTTCCTTGTGCCATTGTACCCTCAGCTCCTAAGTACCTTGTAAAGAAGAGTTCTCCACTCCTCTACTCGTTGTAGAATACCTTATGCCACCAGACTTGAAATTCTAGAACTAGAAAACCTTGAATTATGCCGTCTTTGGTCCGATCTGAGTATGGTATATAAAATCATACATTGCAATGACTTACCTGTCAATGAATACTTCAGCTTCAACCATAACAACACAAGAGCACACAATAGATACAAACTCAAGGTTAACCGCACCAAACTGGATTGCAGGAAATACGACTTCAGCAACAGAGTGGTCAATGTCTGGAATACTCTACCTGACCCTGTAGTTTCTTCCCCAAACCCCAAAAACTTTAACCTTAGACTGTCTACTATTGACCTCAGCCCTTTCCTAAGAGGTCTGTAGGGGGCGTGCATAAGCGCACCAACGTGCCTACCGTCCCTGTCCTATTGTTTCTCTTATTCTTCTTTTATTTTTCTTATATGTACCCATTTCATGTATTCACAACTATGTATACACTTATACTTATTATCTTGTAAACAATTGGCAAATAAATAAATAAATAAATAAATAAATAAATAAATAAATAAATAAATAAATAAATAAATAAAACAATCAGTACTCCTATTGTCTGACAAGGGGCCTGCTTTCCCACATTTCAGTCATTTCTCTGGCTATTTTTGTTCCTGCTCAGCCAAAAATCTTAGTAGCTCCAAAAGGGAAAAAAAAAAAAAAGAATGCATGTCCTTGTTCAATGCAATGTGAGGCTACCAATGACTTTGGATCTCCAGATCTAACTGCTCACTTGTGTTCTTGCAATTTAGCTGTTAACTTTCTCCCATCATTTCCATATAGTCACAGGGGCAGGAAATTCAGGAAATTACATTCAAAGTTTCTAAAGTATTTTTGTCATTTTTATTCTTTTGGGAATTAGCAACTCTTGGGTGTTTGGCCATTAAATGCTTGATACAGAGCTGCTGTCCAAAAGGTTGAACAGACTTTCTCATCACTGTACACCAGGGAACATATGTGTCTGTTATTTAGGGATAGTTGTGTGGGTGTTCCATTTGTTGTAGTTATTAGTCTTGAAGTCATGTCCGACCCATCGTGACCCCATGAATAATGTTCCTCCAGGCCTTCCTGTCCTCTACCATCCCCCAGAGTCCATTTAAGCTCACACCAATTACTTTATTTTTATGTAAGAAACTCTCTCCCTAGGGGGCACTCAAACAGCAAAGGACAGAACAGAACAGAAAGTTGGATCAATCAATCTGGATACAGGATATGCACCTTGACATAATGTGCAGTTGGGATTTGGGAAGTGTGCATTGGCCTGCCTGTAGCCATCTGCAACCTATGCTTACCTATGCAGCGAGGTATGTGGTGATGCCCATGTACAGTTGCAGGAAAGTCTAAATCAAGTTTTAATCCTAGGATCATCCATTGTAATTCATTTGGACCACAGCTTCGCTCTGATGAAAGGTGTGGTTCTTAACCTTGCATTGTGGCAAGGATGCAAATGAATTTACTTCCTTTGTATTCTTCGCATCCCACATTTCTACCCACTTGATATCAATATTAATGAAGTTTTTTTTTTGGAGGAGGAGGAATGAGTATGATTGTGCATTCTGTAAGAGAATTTTGTTGAACTGTATCAGGTTCTGGCCATTGCCACTTGAGTGATTTATAGTGTCTTTTAGCATCACCCAGCCATTGTTGTGGTTCTATTAAGGCTTTTTTCATCACTGACACAGTGGCACAGCTATAGCTGGATGACACTATAAGATGCAATAAATCACAAGTGTAGAAATGGCTGTTGGCTGTTCACCAAAGATCTTGGGGCCAAATTACTAGCTAAAGAACACTTCTGGCACACAATGTTTTTTTTTTTGCTGCCACTGTGTTGATTCCTTTGGGAGAACTGAATTGATTTTGGAAGTTAAGCTATGGATCCATCCTGATATGGCAGTGGAGTTTTATTTTTGGAATTTATTTGAAAAGTTCTTTGTCTCTGCCAGGCCAGGAAAATAATGTGGGTGAGATGATGAATAGAGATCTGAATGAATTGTGCTAGAGGCTCGATATTTGGATTAGGTGAGCCCTTTCAGCATATAAGACATTTCAGATGAATTATTAGTTATCTTTTTCCAGATCTGCCAGTATTATGAAGGTATTTAGGAATTTGTTGGGAGTACCTGAGTCATAGCATTTATGTGCCAGCATCTACCAGGTTTAGAAAATGAAATGATTGATGTCCTTCCCGGTTTCCAGATCAAACACTGCTCTTCACTAAACCCAGGAGTCACCTCCAAGCTGAAGGAGATGCTGGCAGATCTCTGGAGTTTTGGAGGACAGCATAATGCAAGGCTCAAAATAACATCTTCAGCACTTATACTAGAGAAGTTTTGCTATTTAGGCATCTCAAAGAACCCTGATTCCTTTAATCATCTGTGCAGTTATGACTCATGGTTAAGATCCTTTGAATTAGGTGTGATGCTCCCAGGATATATTTATTTTAGCTAAAAAGATGGTATGCGTTGGATTTTTAGTATAACTAAATGACTTACAATCTAGCACCCCTGCCTAAATACTTTTAAACATGAAACTTTTGAATACTAGTGTAAGGTTGGGACCTAGAATATGAACTCTTCTTAACAAGAGTGTTAGATGGGTCTGTGGGAATCAGAGGCAGGATGCGGCAGGAACAGGTCAAAGTCTTTATTTCCAGAATTAAGAAAAAGCCGCTCAGCCATGGCTGGCACCAGCTTTTGTAGCCGGCGCTGTCCAAGGTTTCAACCACTGACGGGGCTTTATTTCTCCTGCCAGTGGCTGGGCCAATGAGTGGAGTCTGTTAGCCGTCTTCGCTCTATAGCCATATTAGGTAATACTTAACAAAGAATATATTATTACCAATAAGGGAGAATATTTGTTGCTCGGGGTTGAAATGAGGAGTCCTGGTGCTCCCTGTGCTTGCTTGTTTTCTTGCAAATGTTTCATTACCCAAACTAGGTAACATCATCAGTGCTAGTAAGGAGTGTGACTTGCTGTCAGTTTCTATTCTGACAGCATAACAATAACATTCTGACAGTATAAACCGACAGCAAACCCCACTCCTTACTAGCACTGATGATGTTACCTAGTTTGGGTAATTGAATGTCTGCAAGAAAACAAGCAGGCACAGAGAGCACCAAGGACCCATCAATACATTGTTCTTCTGGTGCAATTAGGTCCTATATACTAAGATATAGTATATAGATACTAAGTCTGTCTCAGTATCCTTTAATGTTTTACAAAGTTCATGTTTCACTATTATGCATTTACACTAGATATACCACATCGGCCTCTGTATAACATTTTGATTTATGAAGTATATTTTTGGTTTATGTATCCCTGGTCTTTTTTTTATTTCACAAATTTCTATTAAGGTTCACATTGTGGTAATCTGTCTGGCAGAATCACGGAATCTGTGTTTTAGGAATTGCTTTTATTGCTTACTGAGACAATGCTCAGGTGTTGGTTAATTTTCCAGCTTAAGAGTAATATAGGAATCTGGATGTCAAAACAAACCATCTGTGGTACTCCTAAAAAAATTGGATCGGCTTGGAAGAACCCTGATTTTTTTTTTTCAGGGGATACTTTTTATGTATTTGATGTAGAGTAATGAACATACTGAGATTGTGATTTTTTTTGCCTCTCCTATGCATGATTGAATTAATTTATCATGTAAGTCAGAAATAATGAATTCTCAACTCTTTGTTTGGGTGCAAATGGGTGAATCCTTCAGAATCATGGTTTGTGACCTGGGACTATCTCAAATATTATTAATCATCTCATGAGACCATTAAAACTACAACATGATACACAAGTGGCTGGAAAAGATGATAGGAAAGCATGTACATTTTAAACCTGAATTATTTTTCTAGGTATGATACCAGGTAAATTAGATAAGAGAAGTATTTATTTAATATTGCATGTTTTGACAGCAGCAAGGATTGTATTTGCAAAATCCTGGAAAAATGAAGAAACACCACAAAAATGAAGAAATAATTAAAAAAAATACTAGAGTGTGAAGAAATGGACAATTGACATTAATAATTAAATAGAAAGAAGATACAGAATATCATCAAACATGGAATCTATTTTATCAATGGTTGGGGAAAAGGGAGATTAAGAATGTAATGTGTATTGTTAAGCAAACTAAATACCCAGACAACATGATGTTCACTAAGCACTAATAAATGTAATTAATAAAAAAAAACCTGAAAATAAATAACAAATTAAAAAAAACTAGAACTGCAATGCTTGACCCGAAAAGATGCTAAGGTGACATAGCTTTACAGATCCTTGGAAAATAATTGAAGGAATGCCAATGCATTTTGGCATGAACTTCCTTGACCAAATCTCTCTCTCTCTCTCTCTCTCTCTCTCTCTCTCTCTCTCTCTCTC